TTCAATAGCCACATAAAACAAGTTTGTAGGATAGCCTTTTTTCATTTACGTAATATTGTAAAAATCAGGAGTATCCTGTCTCAGAGTGATGCTGAGAACCTAGTCCATGCATTTATAACTTCTAAACTGGACTATTGTAATTGCTTATTATCAGGATGTCCTAATAATTCTCTTAAAAACCTCCAGCTGATCCAAAATGCTGCAGCCAGAGTTCTGACAGGAACCAGTAAGAGAGATCATATTTCTCCCGTATTAGCTTCTCTTTATTGGCTCCCTGTAAAAGCCAGGATAGAATTTAAAATCCTGCTTTTAACATATAAAACTCTCAATGACCAAGCTCCATTTTACCTTAAAAACCTCATTGCACCGTATTAGTACGTAGTTCCTTCCCACCGTTGCCAATCGCTTACTCAAAGGAAGTCCAGAGACAACTTTGGATTGTTGGTTTCTCTGTTTAAATTTGTAAGGTCTACACCTTACTTTGTTAAGCGCTGTGTGATAACACGTTTTAAACTGCGCCATACAAATTGAATTGAATTGAATTGAATTATCGTAAAAGTATTACTTTTTTTTTTTAAGTTAAGCAAGCGGACATTCTGAGCCTTAAAGTGAATTAAAACTTATGCCAGAAACACGACTGGACAGACCCGACTTTCAGCATTAGCCTCAATGACAATAGAACAGGACGTGTTGGAAGTGAAACGCATAAATCACCTGCTCAGCAGAGTGACTGAACTCTTTATGATGACAGAAGGGAGGATGGATTTTGTGTTTAAATAATCAGAAATCTAAGGTTTTGGTGAGTAAAATATATATATTTGTCATTTTACTGGGCTGATATTGATGCTCCTGTTGGATGTGATGTATNTGACAGGTGTACGAGGTGGTGCGACCTTTAGTGAACCTCCTTCACACAGACAGAGAAGGGACGCAGAACTACGAAGCTCTGAGAGGTCTCACCAACTTGGCTGGTTACAGTGAAAAACTAAGGTGACAGTCATCAACACCATTTGATAATTATTCACTGTGATGCATAATAGTTTCTTAGTGGTTATTGTGGTTTCCTCATCTTTACTACGTCTCTTTTGCAGAGTGAAGATTGTAAAAGAGAAAGCCTTACCAGAGATTGAAAACTACATGTTTGAGGAAAACGACCAGATTAGACAGGCTGCCACAGAATGCATGTGCAACCTTGTTACCTGCAAAGAGGTGAGAACAGACAAAAACATCACATGATGATGAGTGACCCATCTCTTTTTAAACAAAGATTTCCAGCAGGACAACTAAGTTGACTCTACGTGTTTTAGGTCCAAGATCGTTATCTGGAAGATGGCAATGATAAACTGAAGCTGCTGGTGTTGCTATGTGGTGAAGATGATGACAATCTTCAGATAGCTGCAGCTGGAGCTCTGGCCATGATCACTGCCTCTCAGAAGAAGCTGTGCACCAAAATGTCCCTGGTGGTACGTACAACAGTATTATTCAGCTGTGCCTGTTTTGAAAAATGTCCAAAAATCTTCCCCCCCAAAAAAGAAAAAAACTGCAGGGAACTCATTGCAACTTGCAAGGTGGGGACTTCTGTATTATTATTCTTTTTTGACGTTGCCCCCAACGAGGGGCAACAATAGAGTAATTAGTTCCATCTGTCTGTCCGTCCTTCTGTGTGTGTGTGTGTCTGTGAACAGTCTCTAGCTTGAGTGCTGAGGTTTAACAAGTTGATAGTGTACAGGTGAGCTAGGGATAGCCTCTCCTCGGAATGATTCGATTTTGGGGTCAATCAGTGCTGAAATAGCTCCCCTAGAGGTCAAAGGTCACTTTTTCAAACATGGCATGTACCTTCAAAAGGGTGGAAGGTAGCTTTATAGTATTTGGTGCAGATAAGCAACCATGTTGGGGGTTTCCGTTGGTGATGTTACCTTTGATGATACTATAAGGACAAACTCAAGGTCACTAATTTTGACTGCACTGCAACTTGAAAGGGCTGCAAGGTGGCTTGGTGGTTAGTACTATCGCTTCACAGCTAGAAGATCCCCGATTCGTGTCCTGATTAGGATGCCTGGGATCTTTCTGTGTGGAGTTTGCATGTTCTCCCTGTGCAGCGTGGGCTCTCTCTGGGTTCTCCGGCTTCCTCCCAGTCCAAAAAACATGCTGCGTTTATAACTTAAACCTCTGTAACACTTGATTTTTTTAGTTTATTTGTAACACCTGCAAGATTACATAACCATTATGGCATTAATCTACATTATTTAACAAACAAAAACAACTTTAATGACATGTGGGAGAATTTCATTCACATTTGTGGCTATGATTTAACAGAACTCAGGTAGGTTAGTATTACATTTCTTTAAAGCTGAGCTGAGCTGAGGCTTGCATGTGACACCTACTAAATGACCTCACTGAGTAACATGTTCAACCTCCAGATATACTTGGTCCCTCCCACAAATCAGCTCAGCAGCATGTAATCATTAACCTCTCTTTGAGCACTGAGTCCAAGGATAACCTGAAGATGTCACTATGACAACCTCTGCATCTCAAAACTCAAGGTTTGCCACTCCCTGTGCAGGAGTGCCACCACGCCTTGCCTCAGAAAGGAGTGGTGGCACTCCTGCGTGGCACTCCTTGTCACTCAACTGTTAGTTAGGTGAAAAATATGAAAAGATAAAATAAACTTTATTAATCCCTCACTGGAGAAATGAGGAACCAATCCGGTAAATCAGTGAAGATGCTCCTTTAAAGTGGAACTTCTTGGTGGAATTTGCCACCAGTCCTTCATGCTTGCATGTCCTTCTTGGAGTGGCACAACAAGGAGTGCTATGACTCCTTGCCGCCTGCCTTTTAACTAAATGGTTACTCAGGTGTAAAAATCATCGGTGATCGTCTTTAAAAATAGTCACTGAAACTGACTGTAAGTCATAGTGTTTGTGGTTTATAACTGTAGGCACTCATAAAGTAAACTTTGAAAAAAAAAAGAGTGTGACTGACTGAGTGACTAATCTCTCCCAACAGACAACCCAGTGGCTGGAGATCCTGCAGAGGTTATGTCTCCACGTCAACCCTAGGATCCAGCACCGTGGTCTTGTGATTGTCTACAACGTGCTCAACTCAGATGATAGTGAGCTGGCCAAGAAACTGATCGAGAGTGAGATCCTGGAAATCCTAACAGTGATTGGCAAGGCGGAGGACAATCCCAAGAGGCAGGATCCCATTGACACAGCGCGCACATGCCTGGTCAAAGCTATGGATCTTGGCCTGATCAAACCCTTTTCCAGCCCTTCTTAAAAGGCTGGCAACCAGCCAAACAGTAATAACGGACTATCTTCTTTATTTCCTCTGTTAAATAGAGACCTTTCCCCCAAATTGCTTTTTCCACATCAGAGATATTCAAGAACTCAACAAACTGGCTCCAGATCACTAAACAGTTTTTTGTTGTTTTTTTTAAATATAGAGGTTGTTTTGGGCTTGGGCAGTATAGTGAGTACATACGGGGGATTTCCTGCGATGAGACATTTGTTCTCTGATGGAAATGAAGAAATGTATTACTTCTCTTTGTGCTGAGCTGTAACTGTGAGTGAATGTTTAAAGGCTGATCCATTTACATGCGCTTGTTTACACTGGGTCCCACTGTTTGATATTGGTGTGGTTACATGAGCCAAAACATATCCTTTAATGACTGCTTTATGTTTCAGCATCTATCTATCTATCTATCTATCTATCTATCTATCTATCTATCTATCTATCTATCTATCTATCTATCTATCTATCTATCTATGGTTATGTTTTATCCAATAAAGCCTCGATTTTGTAAAGATGACACACAACTTCTCCATCTGTCTACTTCCTCTGGTGATAATATGAAATGAAACTGCCTTATTTGTCACATTTAAAAAGAAAGTAACATGATTCAGCTCCTTTCAGAAAACTGACACAGTGACAAAACATTAGTCATGACAACATTTGCACTGAGTAACTACGACTATAAGACTATGAGACAATGAGCAAATATATAACTTTTTTTT